AAGGACATTGAGGTACTGGAGAGAGTTCAGGGAAGGGAAACAGAACTGGAGAAGGATCTGGAGCACAAATCGGATAAGGAACAGCAGAGGGATCTGAGTGTGTTTAGCTTGCAGAAAAGCAGAGTCAAGGGAGACCATATCACTCTCTACAATTGCCTTAAGGGATGATGTAGCCAGGTGGGAGTCAATCTCCTCTGCCATGTCTCAAACCAAAGGATGAGAAGAAATAGTGTTAAGTTATGCCAGGGAAGGTTCATACTAAATATTAGTAAAAATATTTTTCTCTGACAGAGTGGCCAGGCATTGGAATAAATTGCCCAGAGAGGTGGTGGAGTCATCTTCCCTGGAAGTGTTCAGGAGGCATTTGGGAATATATTTGAGGGATGATTATTGTGGTCCTGGGTTGACAGCTGGACTTAATGATCTTGAAGGCCTTCTCCAACCTTGATGATTGTGCGATTCTGTCACTCTGAGGGCCATGCTTACTTGACCTGGTTGCCAGCAGTGCTGTTCCCTGTGCTGGAAAATGTTAGGTCTACCCCATACCTCTCCTCCTTCTCAGGCTTTGGTCATGTGTCCCCAGTGCAAATCTATATTAAAGCTCCCACCACAAAGTTGGCAAGCCTGTTGGCACAGACACTCTTGTAGGACTTTTACAACCTCATCACCTCTTTCCTTCCAGCCCTTATTTATGAGTGAGGATGCATTCCTCTGTTTTGAGACCTGACTGTCTGTTCTGTCTGCTGGCTCATCCCAGAGTCTCTTATTCACAGACATAGAAAAGAGACCTTCACTGAGGCAACAGCAGCTCGTGTGCCAAGGTGGCAGCCTGGTACAGGCCTGCTGTGCAGAGGAGCATGGCAATAGATCATGCTCTGGGTGACAGAAGTCAGTTCTGAAATGCAGAGGCCATGGAGAGAAGGGGCTCTGGGACATCACAAAGCCCTCCAGAGTGATTGTGTATCACCAGCTGTTCTGATGAGTATCCCCAGCATGCTGTGTGCTGAATTGTGCTGCCATGTCAAGCGTGCCCTGGTTCCTGGCTGGGAAAAGCATTCAGCTCACATACCACCAGTATATTTCTGGAGTCAGGAACCAGAACAGTTTCTAATAATTTGGAGAGGAAGCTCCAGTGAATAACAAAAAAAGAATACATCCCATTTGTGGTTGTTTAAGAAATGATACCACACAGGCTGAAGTCATAGCTGCAGTCAGTTTGGCTCCATGGGCTGGCAAGCGCAGAGTTCCCTGCCCTGGCAGCCAATACAGCTCCCCACCCCACCATCCCCTCCAGATACTCCTGCAGCCTGGCTCTGCCCTCTGCTATATGACTACTGACATTATTTCCCACCACGTTTTCCTCTCCATGCATGCATGGTGCTTGCATGATCCCACGTAACTGTAAAAATCCACATTTCAGAGGACTGGCAGGGTTGTAAAAAAATGATCAAGACTCCCCCTGTTGGCATATGCCTTTGCCAAGAGCAGACTTCACAAGCACCCTTCTTTCCCCAGGACACTCCAGCCCTTGGTGACCATCTTTAGGGAGGCCTGTCTGAGGAACAGCTTGCTGAAACTTTCTTCTCTCTGGTTTTGACTCCCTCCTCTTTGCCTCCTTCAGTGAGGACAGATTGTTCTGCTTGTTGTTGAAGCAAGCTGCAGACTGTTCTTTTCTATTCTTTGCTACTTTCCCCACTTTGCAATGATTAAAGACAGCTTTTCAGCATCAAAAGGTATTTGATCCTAATAAATGCTGGGACAATTTAACTGTTTTCTTCTGTGAACAAAAGAGGGAGGGTTGAGCACAGAAGTTTCTCATGCATGTCAGACCTCCATTACATTGTTTCACTGTGGCTGACAAAAAATTGCCAATATTTTGGAGAAATGCAGTAGAATAAAAACGCCACTAACACCCACAACATTGTTTTTTCTATTTGGCCTAAAATATTCAAGAACTTAAATTGCCATTATTTCGAGGCACAGGATAAAAATAATCAATTTCTAGTAAACATTAGTTGCTTAACTTCTTAAAAATTGAAATATCTAGGGTTTTCATTTTCCATTCTCCAGCTGAAAACAGATCTGTGATAGATTTTCAAGAAAAGAAAAATTTTAAAGATAGCTGCCACTTTTTCTGGAATGCTCCCGGTCTCAAATCACCTTCAAAAAAACTTGTCAAGTGCATTTAGCAGCTGACATAGCATTAAAGAAACAAAATTTGTTTGTGCTTCTCAAGAGCAAGGGAAAAAAGCAAGTAAAGGTAAAGGTTAGGAGTGCTGTAGTTGTGTAGCCAGGCAGAGCAATCCATCACACAGGCCCTGCTGGCAGCGTGCACCCTTCGGGCTGGAAACGCTCCTCAGTGCAGAGGGATGAGGGTCACTGGTGTGGGGTCAGACCTGCGTGGGGACTGGGCTGGGGCTCTGTTACAAAGCAGGTCTGGAGGCTGACCACTCTCTTAGGAATTGGCTCAGTAGCATGAGCACAATCTGCATGTGCCAGCTGGTGTCTGCTCTGGAGAGCAGACAATTAATTTCAGCTGGATAACTACAAACCACACAGGGAGACAGCAATTTTGGATATAAAAGCATTTATTTAGAGTCAGAGTTCAGTTGTGTTTGGAACTAGATGATCTGTAAGGTCCCTTCCAACACAAACCATTCTGTGATTCTATAATTTAATTGGATTACATCTTGTTTTAAAATCAGAATACTTTTCCCTTGACAATGTACTTAACCACAAGAGTTTCTTTTTAGTGTATGTGAAACTTTCTTAATTTTAATGGCAGGAAAAACTACAAAGGCTTATCCTGTAAATTTAATCTTCTTTGCTACATAGTGTTCCGGGACTTCATGATTGCTATTTTTTAAAATCTGTATTCCACACAAACAATCCTGATGATTTCTCTACCAAGGACAAGCAGATATGCTCATATCTGTTCTTCTCATAGCTGAAGAGCTTCTCCAAGACAATGGTCAAGGTTGGCACATTAAGAAACAGTGCTAGAACTTGTAAACTAAACTGCAAAGCAACCAGGGCCACTTTTTTTTTTTTTTTTGGAGATACTTCTTATGAAGTTTTTAAGGCATTTCTTATACCTTCCCCCATGCCAACACAAAATCTGAATTTCTGAATTTTTAGAAACTTCAATTGACTTAAATGGACTCTGTCATGAGTTTATAGTTCATGTTAGGCCTCACAGTATAATTTTCTTAGTTAATTCAGTCCCGTGCTGAACTACACTGAGTACTCTGTCTACTATGCTGAGCAGTCCAGGTTGTTCAGAAAAAAACAACAATCAAGTAGGTATGCATGTATTCAGTGCTAGTTAGAAAATGATGAGGAAAAATTTCAGAGTTCTGATGAAATCTCTATATCTTTTTTGATAAATTCTGAATTCACTGAACTCTGCTTACAGCTCTGTGCACAGTAACAGAGCAGGTTCAACCAAATAAATTTCATCACACTCTGATGTAATCTGAGACACCTGAAGGCCTGTTAATAATTTTTCAAACTGGTAACTCATTAACCATCTCAGAAATGGTACAGTCCAGTTTCCAGAGGAGTGTAAAGTAAACATCCATGTGTGTCTGTGTGTGCACCTGGGAAGAGGGGAGAAAAGGCAGCAGAAAGCAGCTGAGTATCCAGATATTAAATTATTTTTTTGCTTTCATGAGCCCATCCCTGTTGTTTCAATCTTCTGCAACCCTCTGAAAGTCAATGCAAATTCTGCACTTGAAGAATTTCTTTATTCAGGTGGGAGGTTGAATTCCATGGACCAACTTGTTCACTGAAAACCATTTTTCTAGACCTCAGTGCCCTTTTTTTTTCTTTGCAGAGTGTGTGAACAGGCAGCAGCCCAAATAATGTTCATAGCCTTATAATTCCTCTGCATTCCCAGGAGGACTCTGGAGATCAATTCACAAAACAAAGATAGTGGATGGAAGGATGTTACATTTTCACAAAGGCAGTATTTCTGAATCAGTAAATTATTAAATAAGCCTTGGTCTCTGCTTGTGCATTAATGTGCAATCAGCTGCCACATGAGAAATATAAAAGAATATTGTAAGTCTTGCACAAACTTTGGTTTAGTATCAGGAAATACCTGTCGATGAGAGATAAGCAGCCTGCCAGGATGCAAGTGGTATTAGTCTAGCAATTGCCTAAAATAATTTTCTGCTTTTGCCAGGAAATGATGCCATTTTCGTTCTTGCTCAGTGTTTCATCCATGGCCAGAACAGGGCTCTCCCTTCTTTTATCACATGCTTTCACACTGACTTCTACACGCTGCCTTTGCCATCAGCCTTGATCTTACATGTTCACCTTGCTGCTGCCCCAGAGGGCCAGGGAGCACACATAGGCTATTTTCTACCCCTAAGGAATCTATCAACATCCTGATTCCCTACCAAAGTAGTACATTATCTTACTGACAATGTTTGTGACCTTCTATAGACCAAGTTGCTAATAGCTGTGTCTTGGCAGAGAGCAATTTTTACTCATCATATGGATGTTTAACCTTTTCAGCTTTCTTCTTGCTGCAAATGAACACAAGCTCAACATCTCCCCAGAGGTTCTAACCACCAGCAGATCTTCAAAGTGGCAATTAATCATCAGGAAAAAATATATGCTGGTGAGGGTTTTTTTCTTTGTGAACCACAACCGACAGTCTTTTACTTACATGCTTCTGCTATGTTTTCAGTAAACAATTGAACCAGAGAGTTTTTTCAACCCTATCAACTGTGAAAGCAGAGAAACGTGCTCTAAAAACACTTTCCAATGAGCCACTTTCCCAGTCTTATCGCTTAGAAGGGGGCAGCACAAGGTGTCTCCCACTCTTCCTTCCCACCTCTCCAGCCCATGTGGGCAAAGATGAGAAGAAAAGACATAACACTCTCGAAATGCCAAAACAATTGTCCAGGGAAGCAGCGTAATTGCAGGCTGTGCCAGCCACCGCCTACACTGTCACCTTGGAGACCAGCTGGGAAACTCCAGGCCTCCTAAAAAACAGGGGCCAAGGCAGCCGTGTTTGTAAATAGGTAAAACGAGATTGATAAGGAAGCTTTGTAGTGAGGCTGTGGCCTATTTTCACCTGAATTTATTGCCTGAGCCTGGAAGCCAACATCGTTAAAGCCTGCCAAACACCTTCCAGTCTTGAGTGAAAAACACAAGTTCCGAAGAGTATTACAGGTAAAGGTTTTTTTTTCCTGTTTGCTACCTCTCAGTAAGTTTCTCTGATCAGCCAAGAGTAGTTTAATTAATTTTGCTTAAATATAATTTTTAAATCTAATTTTCTAAATACTATTTTTAATATGATTTTTTATTTAGATATATAAATATATTGATATTTGATAAATATATATGTATATATGCAAAAGAGAAATCGCAGTAATGTCCACCTGTCAGAAGGTAGAAGCTGGATGGTGCTGGTCATGATGGAGAGAGACAGGAACCCTGCTGTAGAAGGATCAGTGAGGCTGGGAAGCCAAATTTTTAAGGAGGTGTTTAGATGGTTGTCTCCTGCAGTTTTTGTTCTTTTAATAATTCAATGAAATTATAAGAAGTAAACCAAATGTGTGTAAGGCACAGAGAAATGTAAAGGGATCTGGTTGCTGAACAACCTAAGATTCTTCTGGAAAAATCCAACCCAAAATTTAATGTTTTGTAGTTGTTAGGAATAAATGCAATCATTTCTGTTTGGCTTGCACAACACAACATCATATATAGACATGAACAATGGTGGCAGCGTGGGGTAATTGTTAATAGCCTAGGCTGTTAAACAAAACAAAACTCTCTAGCATTCAAAATTAAAATAAACACTGCTGGTTAATTTCACTGAGGGAGACATCTGATAGTCTTGGATGAGATACACAAATTAAAACGATTTGGAATTACTTTGATGACCTGTTCTTTTTTTATTAATGGTATTAAGATGTTACACATTTGTACACTATGCAGAGAATGGTTATAGTCAACAAACCCTGACTGCATCTTTAATTACTTCATGTTATCCAAAAAGGAGGAAAAGCAAAATGAAAAGGGGAGGAAAGAGCATGTGAATTACTGTGATTCTGTCCTCCTTGCACTGATTTGGAATCTCTTTTCTTACAATATAGCCTAGGAAGGGTTTACCTCTAACTTAAGCCTGAGCCAACAGAAATAGGAAAGTGATAAAAGTGTCACCATGGACCAGGCTTTCATGTAGCAGCTTTTACACTTAACTGGTCTTCTGTATTTTCTGGATGTATAAAAAGGGTTCTCAAATGCTTACTGCCATGTGGCATAGGAAGCCAGGTCCTGTTTAAGAGGCTTTAATGTGATGTGAAAACTCAATTACTTTACAAACAGACTTTAATGGCTGAGTTTTGTATGGAAACATGTTGTTGGTGATCTAGTTAGTAAACATTATAGAGAATGCAGATTTGCAAGGAGCAGAAATATTTATTATTAGTGTTTTTAATCATAATACTTGGGGGGAAAAGAAGTGGGGATATCTTTATCTATGGTGTTTGTGAGATTATTAGAGTGCTCTGACCCACTTCAGAAAGAATACTGAGAAAAACTGAAAAGTTCAGGAACAATAGCAGAACTATCTGACATCTGGAAATTCATTTTGTACCTGGAGTCCTGAGCTATGCCTAATTACTAAGCCAAAGTGAGTTTAAAAGGAACCTTCAAGTACTTACACTTGGACACATTTTTTATAGGTAGCTCTTTAATCTTGTAAAACAGTGTAAAACAGCATCTAATATGGTGGAAATTCAGACTAGAAACAGCATCTATGAAAAGAAAAATTATTCAATGCTGGAACAACTTAGCCTAGAGATAGTGAGATCTGGGGCAGAAATGTGTATAGATGTAGAAGCAAACTTTATTCTTACTGATGAAATTACAGAGGATTGGCCAATTTCAGTGGCCTTTATTGAGGTTCAAGACATCATAACAGATAACAGATCAGATTATCCCTCCATAGCCTCAGTTCATGAGTATTACTGCAATGATTATTTGATGCACATTGCACTATTCTGGAAATTACTCCACTGAACCTGAGGTGAGGAGATGCCACACTCTTTTCATGGTGTGTGTGTTTGTGTAGATTTTTGCAGTGTGCAATAGAGATTAATTATGTCCTCGTTGGTCTCAGTATTTATAGAACTCCAGAAAGACATAACATAGTGTAGAGAGAATCACACTGCGCAATAATACACTTGCATCATGTACTCTGTATATCGTTGCTATATATTATATATAAGCAAAAGTACATTGTTATATAATGTAAATACATATAGTTTGCACTGTATTTATGTGACCTCACAGTATTTTAAAGTCTTTCCAGCTAGACATTTCCCCTTAAGGACAGGTCATTGTTTGTAAAAAACATTTTTGGCTGCTGATCTCACACAGCTGTGAGATCTTCCTGGTCACTGGTTAATGAGTTCCCAGAAGAACTTTGCTTGCTCTGTCTAAAGCAAAGGCCAAAATGCTCTATATTTTACTTCTCTAGACTTCTACATTAAGCTAGTACTGAAACCACTTGGGGAGTACAAAACAATTTTATTTTTCTCTTTTTCCAAGCCAGATGGAGCAATCTGAAGTGGTTAGAAAATTCAGCATATTTGGTATTACCAGCAGCCATAGCCAATGCTCTGTAAACAGGAGTGGATGAACAGTTAGTATGAAACAGTTAATTCCATGATTCTTAGAAGTTTTGTCTGATCATTTTGATTCACACTTCTGCACATGGAATGGCAATGGGATTCGAAGTGTCACGTGCACTGACAGTGCCTCACAGGGCTGCTCAGCTTCATCTCTTCATCTCAGCATGGGCTCATCAGAGCACCACTCACCCTCTGAGTCTAGAGCTCTGCTGTAACTTCTGTGACTCTTGTGTGCCCTTATCCTATGATGCTTGAAAGGCTGGGAAACATTTTGGGAGTCTTCATGGTCTGCTGCAGATCCATCAGCCAGGCTATGCAACAGCAGTCTTGGCACTGAGCATGTGCCTAGGATTGATTTGGCCCTAAAATATCAGTATGGGCATGGCAGTCACAATTTTCTTAGCACTAGGAACAAATAATGCCTGTGGGAGAGGCAGCGGGTCTCTGCTAGTCTGGACATGATGCTCTTGGTGGTGCTGTTGCAGCACTGCAGAGTCACAAGCTGGTTTTCCATATTTTTATTCCACTGTTCTCCTCTGAGGGTAGCTGGAAAGCCTTTGTTGTCAGCATGTGAAATCCTGGGGTGCTAAATACTGTGAAATATTAAGGTATTATTTGTTCTTCAGTTGTGTTTAAAAAGCAGTAGGTGTCACATGTGGGTGCTCAGATATGCAATGGGTGAAATCTCTGCTCTGCAGGATCGGGACCTCAGTGGAACAAAAGTACTCAGGAGCAAAGGCCCTCAGCCAGGGTAATTTTTATCTTCCTGTGGTCAAATGACAGCTGCAAACCTGGTCAGGTGGAAGAGGCTTGTCAAGGATGCTGTGGACACAGAGGGAGTCACACACTCCTGAGTGCACCCATCAATTGTCACAGTGTTCTCACATTGTAGGCAGAAATTTCTTACACAGTTTCCTGTCTGCATCTGGATTAATCATAGGGTGGTTGGCTGAGCCCTCCTTTCATGGTTGGTGGCCTATATTGGAAATTTCCCTTTCTGATAGAAGGATATAAGGAAAAGGAAATAGAGGGTGAAAATGGGTCCTAATGAAAGAGTTGCTACCAGCAGTTTGCAAGTTAGGAATTTGAGATGCTTTGTATATTAAGGCAGGCTTTGGCACTGTGTCTGAATGTGAATCCATACCACACCAGTGTTTTGGTCTTCCAGATGGGCACGGCAAGGCATGACCAAGAGATGTCAATCAACGCAGTAAGAAGCCTGCCCAAAATCACTGACCCTCTAGAAAGACTTCGCCTGCAGTGTTTAGCAAGGGGATCTGCAGGCATCAAAGGATTTGGCAGGTGAGTATGCAAGATGTTAAACCCATTTTTCAGCCTAACAGTTTTAGCTGCAAGAGGCTCACACACTAAACAGGGACCAAAACTTGAGTTTCCAAGTTTTCTTGAGTTTTCTCATTTCAGTGCAAATGCCACAATTCACAGAGGGGCTCATATGTTTTGAGACATAGGACTGACCTGATCACCTTTTGACAGATTGGATCCAGATGGTGACCAACTGGAACTTCATCTAAATTTGGAACTTCATCTAAATGTGCAACTTGCAGGGGGCAGAGGGCCATAATGAACAGGAGTACTATGGCAGCCTTTCCCTCATTTAACTTCAGATGTGTAATATTCATGCACCCTATCTAAACAAGTCATCTCTAGTGCCAATAAGTGTAGGGGGTTTGTTGGTTGGGGTTTTTTATTTCTTATTTTTCTTCCCTCAGAATACAGAACAAGGAGGAAATGTTATCTCAGTAAGGTGACGCTCTATGCCAGTACTGTACTAAACCACTGCAGCATTCTCCATGTTTTCCTGTGCATTTTCCTCAAATTTTATGTTTTCCACAGAGTATTTAGGATTATTGATGGTAACAATAGCAGAACCCTTGACTTCAAAGAGTTTCAGAGAGGACTACGTCATTATGCTGTGATGATCAATAACGAAGAAGCACATGAGATTTTCCAGATGTTTGATAAAGACGGCAGTGGAACAATTGATTTTGATGAATTTCTTGTTACACTGAGAGTAAGTCTTGGAATTTATATTGTTACTGCATTAAATGGATTAAAATAGAAGAGAAGAGAACAGAACAAAGTAGAATAGAATATTTGCAAATACACAGTTGTGATTTTTTTTCAATTAACTGTGGCCTTGATTTAGATACTGAAATTCCTGCGCTGCAGTCTGGGTACCTGTGCAGTTAAATCTCACTTCTTTGTTGGCCATTTCATGATGCATCTCTTTATAACATGAGCTTATTCAGGGGATACTTTCTCCAGTCCTCCATAGTCATTGATTTTGTCTGAAGTATCTTTGCTCTGCTGGAAGAAAATACTAGTACTTTGGGTAATTAGTAATTTCTTGTTAGAAATATTTTAAATGGCCAGATCAGAAAAGTGTTCTAGGTAGGATTTTCTCTCTTATTGTCCATTTGGTGTTGTATGGGTAGACACTGAATAGTCTTAATCCTATTGCTCTTTTGAGGATATATTGCCTTTTCTAGCTCCTGGAGACTGTAGAGTATCACCAGTATAATGTCTCATCTACTTTGAAAATTTTGCTGCTGGCAACAACAAGTACTTGAATTTGGAACTGGGCAAATAGTTGGCAAAAATAAAATCACTCTGTTAATATTTCTTTACAGCCTCCCATGTCCACTGCAAGAAAAGAGATTGTCATGCAGGCATTTCGGAAGTTAGACAAGACTGGAGATGGTGTCATAACAATTGAAGACTTACGCAGTGTGTATAATGCAAAACATCATCCCAAATATCTAAATGGAGACTGGACAGAAGATCAAGTTTTTAGATCCTTTCTGAACAATTTTGATTCACCCTACGAAAAAGATGGGAAGGTAAGTGAAGCACCTGATTACAAGCCATTAAGTCACCATCTGACTCTGAATTTGACTTAGGTTATTAAGTGGAGGTGTAATTACAGTACCAAGCATCCATTTGCATCACATTTATACAGAAAATCAAAGTAGATGTATAACCTGTGCACAGCACTCCTGATACAGCTAGCTTGCACATTCTGAGGTAAAGGGGCTCTGCAGGAGGTACAAGGGTGGTTGTGAGACTGCATTAAGGCTTGTAGCCTTAATAATCAAATTTCATAGATTACACTAAGTACATGTTCAGACTACCCCACAAAATTGCTGAATTTCATGAACCACATAAACTGGGGGGTTTTTCACTTTTTAGGAGAATAAATACTAGGATCCAGTTCAAAAGCAGGCTCCCTGTTTTGTCAAATATTTTACAGTTAGTTCTTCTCCAGTGTAATTACTGAGACACTTGACTTGCAAATCAGTCCATAATAGAAACAGATTTATCTGCAGAGAGTTGGAGGGAGAATAGGGCTGGGGCGTATACCCTGAGGAGCCATCAGATGGGACAGAGATGGGAGCCCTTCCTGCACTCTGGCTTTTTCTGGCTCAGGTGCAAGCCTGGGCACCTTTTGGGATGGACTTCTTATACAACTGATCTTCAACCATTTCTGAGCCAAGCATGCTCTCTTTCCCCTTATTATGTGTCTGCAAACTTCTTTGGTCTGAACTTACATCTGTTGACCATCTCAGAGCAATCTTGTATCTCTGTGGTTCACTTGGTGCTATTCTCAATCTGAGCAGTTAATAATAACAAACTAGGCTGTAAATTTCTATCATTGCTTTGTGGAATGTCTTTAAGACTTCCCACTCTCCAGGCTGGGTTTTCAGGGCAGCATTGCACTGGTGACTCCTACCTGTCTAATGCTCCACCTGAATCCTTCACTTGCTTTGTTTCCACCACTTGGGCTCTCTTTTGTACAGAGCTGATGGTTTTTGTCTACTTTACAGACTCACAGAATTACAGAATGACTAGGGTGGAAGAGACTTTCAAGATCATCAAGTCCAACCCATGCCCTAAACACCTTAGCTAAACCATAGCGCTAAGTGCCACATCCAGTACTTTTTTGAACATATCCAGGGATGGTGACTCTACCACCTCCCCAGGCAGGCCATTCCAATATTTTATCACCCTTTCTGTGTAAAACTTCTTCCTCATATCCAACCTATATTTCTCCTGATGCAATATATGCTTTAGGCATGACTTTGCACTTAGTAGAGCTGAATTTCATACCTTCATCTGCAGTGTTATCCTCAGAGATACCAGCTCAGAGCCAACTATCCCCTTCCATCTCCACAGCAGTGGTGATATCTAGCAAATTTCAAGTAAAATGTTCCTGCTTTTTGTGCTGAGGTCATTCATGAATAAACTCATTAAATGAGTTCCCAAACTGATCCTTGATGAGTTCAGTGCCTGGTCAGCAATCCTGATGTTAGCTCACCTGATTATTGTTTCTTGTGAGAACAGGCTGTGGCTTTCCTGAATCATAAGACACTAATGATACTGAATACCTCAAATGTTTTTAGCAGAAATGTCTCAAGGTTGAGCATTTTCTAGAAAGGCCCTCTTCACTGTGGTCTTGCTGGGTGCCTCTGAAATAGGCAGTTTTAGTGGGGTTTTTAATCATCTTGTGATGGTAGGACAGTCTGAAGTTCTTCCTTCTCCCTATTGCCATATTTTTCTAAGTTCTCAAACACACAATGCAATCAGAGCAGATATAATGGAATAACAGAATATGCTGAGTTAGGAGAAACCCAGGATCATCAGGTCCAACTCCTGGCCTGGCACAGCACAAAAGAAGTCGCAGCATGAGTCCTGGCCTCTGTCAGGCTGATGCTGTGACCGCTGCCCTGGAGATCCTATTCCAGTGCTCAACCACCCTCTGGGGAAGAACGTTTTCTTGGTACCCAGCCTAAGCCTCCCCTGACACAACTTCAGGCCATTCCCTTGGATCCTGTCACTGTCACCACAGAGCAGAGGACAGTGCCTGCCCCTCTTCCCCTCATGAGGGAGCTGTACCTGTGCTGAGGTCTCCTCTCAGCCTCCTCCAGGCTGAATAGACCAAGACAGCTCAGCTCTCCTCACACAGCTTCCCCTCCAGACCCTTCACCATCTTCCCAGCCCTCTCTCAGACACTTTCTAATAGCTAAATGTCTTTTTCATATTGTTTTGTATTTTTTCAATTTTTTCTTTGTTTATTCAAACAATAACTTACACAATTCAAGAGTTAAGGCTTCACAAGAGACCTGCACAGATTTTCTCTTGGTTAATTTGATTATTTATTTTTTAATGGTAGGTTTTAAACCTCAAAATACCCATGAAAGCTATTCAAAACTCTTAGGTATTTGAAAGAATATCTGCTTCATTAAGGGAGACTTGTTTAGAGCAATGATATTGTCTTTCTAGGGGTGGATATAAAGTCCCATGCTATCTCTGAATTGCATCAGAAATCTCACCCACTTTATTGATAACCATGAAAAGAACCAGATTATAGCTTCCCTGGAAAAAAGTACGTTAAAAATTTGTCTTCTTAGGCAGCAGTGATTTTAACTTCAGTTCCTGGTAAGATTAGTTAAACTTCACATGTTTCATCTCCATCCAAGTGTTGTGGAGGACTAGAGCTCTTGTTTCTAGCAAAGTGAAATTAAGGAAGTTATAAATGTCTTAATTCCTTCTGTTTGATTCCATTTTGTTAGCTACAGTATGAAATGTTGATGTTCAGTTTCATTAAAGGTCCTTCTCAATGTCTGGTTTTGACTTATAGCATTAAATAAAAACAAAGGTTCATTTTCGTATTTTTAATTTCTCTGTCTCAGGTCACCAAGGAAGAATTTATGAATTACTATGCTGGAGTCAGTGCTTCCATAGACACAGACATTTACTTTATTGTCATGATGAAGAATTCTTGGAAACTGTAATCATATAGTTAAAGAAGCATGAGTTTCTTTGACCTTTTATAGGTTCCTCCTAAATGTATGTACAACAACTTCCTCCTGTTCTGTTGTGGTGTGTTTTTCCTTTGATTTGATATTTGTTCAGCGTCTGTTTACCCCCCCCAATCTCCTCCCTTTCCCAGTTGTCAATCTTCCCAAGCTCTTCCCTAATCCCCTCCTCTCCCAGTTGTCAATCCTCCCTTTCCCTGCCCTTTTCCCCATAACATTCCCTGTCATTTCTCCTAGTCCCCTCCCCTGCTTCCAGAGTATTCCCTGTCTATTTAGTGAGGCTCAACACCCTGTTGGTTACTTTGTGTTACTCACTCTCCTGTTTCCCCTGATAAGTTTGTGCTCTGTTAGTCCCTCCTTAGACTCCTCCCCAGCCCTGCCCTCATTGGTTGCTGTTCCTAAACCCCTCCTCTTGAGTTCCTGTATAAAACCTTTGTTTGCCCTCCCCAGGGGGTTCTTGGGGCTCACTCAATGGAACCATCCTGCTCAGCCCCAAGTCCCGTGTCGCCTCCGTCTGTCCCCGCACCGACAAGTGGGACAGCAGAGCTTCACAGGGGGAGTGGCCGCCTGTTCTCTTCCCTCTCACTGCCCAGCGTGGCACCGCTCGGGGTATCGCGGTGAGAGGAGCTGCCCGCGAGTTACAACAAATGGTAGAAGAGGATGGTTCCCTCCTTCGTCTTGTAAAACAAACGGGCAAATTCTTGGGTTGCTGCGTCTCCCCCTCGAATCCATGGGGATAAAACCCCTGTGGAGCCCGGCCAGCTGGGCAGTGGGGCGAGGTGGGCAGAGGGAAGGAACTTCTCCTTGGATCTTGGGGGGCTTGGAGAAGCTCCCTCGTGAGTCCAAAGACGAGCTGGTCCCACAAGCAAAGGAAAGAGGCACTCTCGCTCAGGATTAATTCCAAAGTTTAATAAGGGCCTGGAGAGATCCCAGCCCACATCTGACCTGGAAGGGCACCCAAAGCAAGAGAGAGGGTCTCCCGGCCTGGAGCAGCCAGATATAAGGGGGCAGGGAAAACAGGGCAGCCAATGGGGGAAGGACATGGGAGCGGCTCTCTGGGGGCAAGACCTCAGAGTGACCACTGAGGAGGGGTTGGGGAGGAGTCCCAGCCAGGGTCCAGTTACCTGGTGACCCTGGGGGAAGGATCTGGACAAAGGGGAAGGGTCACCAGGTGATGGACACATCACCTGGGAGGAGACAGGGGGATGGGTTTGGGTTTGATGGACATACAGGTGCTGATGGGAAAGCTGGGATGGACCAAACAGGTACAAAGAGGGGATATGGAGGGACAAACCAGTATGAGGGGATATACAGTGCAAACACAACACTAGAGTGGGGGCGCCCGCCTCACAGAAGAAGAAGGAGGGAAGAGGAACACCTGCAACCAAAGAAGCTCTGCCAAGGCTAAGAGGAGCCGAGCGCCAAGCAACAAGAAGATTGAGGCTTTGGGACCCTCTTTGTCCTTGCCTCCATGCTCTCTACCCCTGCCTGGAGCAGCCGTGCTCCAGGGGCAGCCGAGCTGCAGGGGCATTAAGGGGGTAGACCTACCCCAGGGCAAAGAGGGCGGTTTGGCAGCAGCTCAACGAACTGAGCCCAAAGAGTGGCACGTCGAGGGACAGCACTTGAACAAAGACCACCAGAGGCTGATAGTGGCCAAACCCAACGCTTCGGGGACGAGCCTTGGGTGTAGCCAGGAATGGTTGAGCCTGTTTCCAGGCTCCGGGAACACCCAGGCCTCTGGAAGGGCCAAACCGTGAGGAACAACATCCCCAGTTTGTTGAGCATCCATCAGGCCATCAAGACCAGGGGAAAAGATAGAGACATCACTGCCTGCGCCCAGGGGGTAAGTGGGTCTATGCAGGGTTCTCCCTGGTGGGCAGGTGGGCTTTCCCCTTGGGTATTTTAGCCTTAGGGCAAGGGTGGGGGACCCACATTTGATGGCTCCTTCTTCTCCTCTGAAAATTGTCTTTTCTATCCTCTCCCCCCAATCTCTTGGGGGTGGAGAGGATAGGAAAGAACACAAATGGGAGAGACATCTAAAAGGTGACACATTTGCTATGGGAGAGCTGGTAAAATCATAAGGGAGGCCCTTTACACACATGCAACTCATCGACATCCAGCTGTGTCAGACCCCTCTCCTGTATATTCCCCCTCAGCTTCTGTGAAGCTTCCCATCCCTCTTCCTAACCCTCTTCCCTCTCCCGTTTCCCCTGAAGCTGGCATTCTGAGGGGAGCAACCAGCGACATAGCGCGGGGTTGCTACAGTCTCTCCGGCTCCCTGCAGATTTCCAGATCCCCCTGCCTCAGGGTCTTTCCAGTCCCCATACTACCTCAGAAAAGATTAGGCCCATTCCAAAAATCCTTCTTTTCTGCTCCTTGGTTTCCTGCCAACCCCTCCCCTTCCTCAACGGCACTGCACCATCCCTGCACGAGGCCAGGCCCTGTTGTTGGGAGGTGGGGTTGGAATTTCCCAGTCCTTCTTCTAGCTCCTCCTCTGGGGGATAGGATTGGGAGGGATCTTCCCGTCAGGGGACCCTCCTTCTTAGGAGATCACTCCCCCTTTGAGGGAAGGTGGAGCTGGAAAGCCGGACTGGGAACCCACCATTTTGTTTTCCCCTAAGATGGTGGCACCCTGGTCCATCTCTTACTGATTCCCCCTAATAATAATGACAATCATGGATTAAGTAATTGTCTTATTCCTATCCCATTCCTTAGTGTACCCTATCCAATGTCCCCTTTTATTTTGCTACAAATTTTCCTTATTGCTTTTGATTATTTTTGAAATAATCTGCTTGATTGAGTTATATTTTCTAGAAGGAAAGGTCATCTCATCTAAGCAATACTCATTGCACTATGCCCACACCCTAAACGATTGAACTGAAGAAACTAAGTCGGTGTCCACTGATCTCACTCTGCTATAATCGAACCAGCATGAGCATCATGACAGATCACCACATGAATTCCGCTGCATATTCTACCCCTGATTTAGAGTTTGCTTATGATAATTTTGTATATTTTATATTACCTGATCTTGTAACCATGAGTAGTTTATACTGTTCTGATGCTTTTCAATTTATGTTCTTTCAGTAATTTGTGATGCTACTATATGATTTTGTTATATTTAGTGTATGAAGTTAATATGATTTGTATACTGTATTAATTTGCTTAAACATCAGAACTCTCCTTCCTTTTGTAAAAAGAAAGGGGGAGATGTTGTGGTGTGTTTTTAGATTGATTTGATATTTGTTCAGTGTCTGTTTACCCCCCCAATCTCCTCCTCTCCCCAGTTGTCAATCTTCCCAAACTCTTCCCTAATCCCCTCCTCTCCCTGTCCTTGTCAATCCTCCCTTTCCCTGCCCTTTTCCCCATAACATTCCCTGTCATTCCTCCTAGTCCCCTCCCCTGCTTCCAGAGTATTCCCTGTCTATTTGGTGAGGCTCAACACCCTGTTGGTTACTTTGTGTTACTCACTCCCCTGTTTCCCCTGATAAGTTTGTGCTCTGTTAGTCCCTCCTTAGACTCCTCCCCAGCCCTGCCCTCATTGGTTGCTGTTCCTATACCCCTCCTCTTGAGTTCCTGTATAAAACCTTTGCTCGCCCTCCCCAGGGGGTTCTTGGGGCTCACTCAATGGAGCCATCCTGTTCAGCCCCAAGTCCCGTGTCGCCTCCCTCTGTTCCCGCGCCACCAACTGGGACAGCAGAGCTTCACAGGGGGAGTGGCTGCCCGTTCTCTTCCCTCTCGCCGCCCAGCACGCCACCACTTGGGGTATCGCGGTGAGAGGATCTGCCCACGAGTTACAACACTGTTCCATTAAAACAGTTCCCAGTAACTGTGCCAGTTACTTTCAATCTGCAGAATTAATTCCCAGATGCTTCAGTAGGCTCAGCCCCAGGGGATCAGAGCATAATCAGAGAGTAGATCTGGCATCTGGCCACCCCACACATCTCTTCTTTTTCTCTTTCCATCCCTGGTATGTCTTCTTTTCTGACATGAGCTGCTCTTTTCTGACATCTGTGGTAGGTTGCTGGGGTTCCTGAATATCCCCTTTGCGGTATTATATACAGCTCTGTTTTGCAGAGGATGCAAGGGATGGAAACCAAAATATTCTAAAGTGTGGTGGTCTTGGACAGGCTATTATGGGCAGGAAGGAATGGAAGGTAGTCTGTCCCAGGAAAGTCATGTAGACGTGTCACCTGTAGCACTGCAGTATCTCTTGGCTTCGTGGGTCTCACTAGTGTGATAGAACAACTGCTGATCTTGCTGCTGGGAACATGTGGGTTCCCAGTACCCCAGGAGGCTGGAGGGGCAATCGAAGGTGCGGACACATAGACCAGGATAAATGCAAAATGCTTTTTAAAGCTCTGGTTTATTCCCTCACTCACAACTAAAGATACAGACAACATTCCTGTGTATACCATGTTTGAACCTTCTGTGCAGCTTCTTACAGATTTCACTCCCCTCCTCCTGCATTGATTCCTTTTTTTCTGTACTGTGAGATCACTTTACTTATAATTTTCTGCAAAGGAGATACATTTTTTCCTCTCTGCTCTTGGAAATTTTTTTTACCTGGTAGCTGTAACCTATTTATATTAAAGGTAAAAAATTTGTATTTGCGGTGAATTTCGAAGAGTTTTCAAAAAATAAAGAACTTATTCTATTCTAACTCATATATTCTCGTGTTGTGTTTCTGATGCTGAAGAAATACTGGGAACCTACCCTTCTTGTCACATCAATGAGGCTACCTCAGTTCATCTTTTGTACTTTGTCCATAGAGACAGGGGGAAATGGTACACAAAGGAAACTGTAAAAAAAAAAAAAAAAAATCTGAAAAAACCTAGTGTGTGAGTGTGTGGTGTCTAATTTTTCCTGCTTTGATATCTTTTTCCTTCTACTTTCTGCTTCTCTCTCATAATTTTGCTGCTGTCCCAGACTGAAGACCTGCTGCTGTAGCAGAGAGTAAATGCATTTTGCATGGCAGCATTTGCTCCATTTCAGGCTGGCAGCCAGCTAAAAGCAGTACAGCGTTATAGAATGGACTTCAAAA